GCCCGCCACCTCGCCCGGCTAGTTTTTTGTATTTTTTCGTAGAGATGGGGTTTCACCGGGTTAGCCATGATGGTCTCGATCTCCTGATCTTGTGATCCACCCGTCTCGGCCTCCCAAAGTGCTGGGATTACAGGCTTGAGCCACCGCACCCGGCCCAATTCAATCTATTTTAAAAATGTTTCCTATCTTCCTTTTCCCCAAGCTCTTCCTGCCTTGGAGGGCGAAACGCCTCAGGTCTGGCCATGGCTGTGGCTCCTAGGAGGTTGGCATCACTTCACTCCACAGTGTGAAGGGTGCCTATTGCTGTTCAGCATCTCCAAGGTCCTGCTTTTCTTTTCCCTGTCTGGTGGTGGCCTTGGGCCTAGGCAGAAGCCCCTGAAGGCCTGTGGATGGTGATTTGGGAAGGAAGAGTCTGACTTTTTCCTGCCGTTGAAAAATGTCTGAGAATGGAATGCAATTGAATTTTTTCCTGCTGCCTTCGACAGCTGGCCCCTTCCAGGAGTGACACAGTCAGGTGGCTGCGTTCTGTAAAAAGTTCAGGCATTCTGGCCACGTGCACAGATTTGGGACTGGTCAGCCAAGAATTAGCCACCAACTCCGTTTAAGGGTGATCCCAACAACTGGGAGACCCTCAGATCAGTTCTATTTGCACTCTGCTGGCTCTCACCAGGGATAGTTTCATTCACTCATCATTCATTCCATCAGTTCATCCATTCACTTATTCATATATTCACCCCCATCAACCCATCCCACTGCCCACCTATTTATCTTTCCATTCCTCCACTCAGCCCTCCCTTCCATCCCTCCACTCAGGCATAACACTCAATCCACCCATCTATCCATCCCTCCATTTTCTCATTCATCCATCCTTTCATCTACCCATTTATCCATTCATACTCTCCACCCATCCATCTCTCCACCCATCCACTGACTCTTCCACTCAGCCTTCATCTATCCATTTCCCTATGAGTCCTTCTCCCTTCTCACCCATCCGTTCCTCTCTTCATTCATCCACTCATCTCTCCATCCATGCATCCATCCATCCATCCATCCATCCATCCATCCATCCATCCATCCATCCATCCATCCATCTGTCCATCCATCCAGGCACCAGCTGGACCAGCCCTTGGTGCAGCCTGGATCAACAGTGGCAGGGGAGGAGTGATACACTCTCCCTCTGACCTTCAGCCTCACTCTGAGTTTCTTTTTTTTTTTTTTGAGACAGAGTCTCGCTCTGTCACCCAGGCTGGAGTACAGTGGCGCAATCTTGGCTCACTGCAAGCTCCACCTTCCGGGTTCACGCCATTCTCCTGCCTCAGCCTCCTGAGTAGCTGGGACTACAGGCGCCCGCCACCGTGCCCGTCTAATTTTTTGTATTTTTAGTAGAGACGGGGTTTCACCGTGTTAGCCAGGATGGTCTCGATCTCCTGACCTCGTGATCCACCCACCTCAGCCTCCCAAAGTGCTGGGATTACAGGCGTGAGCCACTGTGCCTGGCCTGAGTTTCTCTCTTAGCAGTCAACTGGGCCTCTCATGCCACTGAGAACATTATGGTGGGCACCTGTGAGCTCTTCCTGATCACCCAAGACTTTTAGGATGATTTCCCGACCACCCTGCTCCACCCAGGGCAGAGCTGCCAACTCCTTGATGCCTCCTAGGTTGCAATTGCAATCAGATGAGGTCCCAGGGCCCCAGGCTGGGCAGCAGCTCACCGTAGCCGTGCTCGTACTCTCGGTGTCGACGCCGGCGGTGGTGATGGTGGTGGTGGTGGTGGCGGCGGTGGCGGTGGCGGTGCCGCTGAAGCCGGGCCTGTCTGTCCCTGCGGATGCTGCCCACGATGATGGTGATGCAGGAGAGGATGATGACCACACCTATGACAGCACTCGCCACCAGCACGGGGGACACGAGCAGATGGCT